CTCATAATAAGTTCCTGCCATTGTGCGATCTTGCTACACGCTCTGAACCTCAAACTCACCGGAAACATCGCGAGACTCTCTCTCATCGGCCGTGAGGGGAGCTTCGCTACCAATTGTTTACATTACCTGATGATGCAGCTCGCTGGACGAGCCTTCTAACCCAGGTTACTAAGCGATACTGGTAATTAGTGAATCCCATTTAAGTGTCACATTAACAGACTCACAGGGATACCCCAATTGAGTTTGGAGGAGCCGACCATTCGGCATAACAATCGATTAATAATCAGCATTAAATAATAATTAATTAAGCTTTAATTAATTCTAACATATTGGTGGAGAATATTAAAATTTATTTGAGCTAATAATTCCTACAGTGCTAAAGCACTGAAGTAAGTTTGGCATCTTCAAAGATGTCCATTAATTACACTTAAACTTACCTGTTAGGACACAAACCATAATGATGGGAAATGCAGCTGTTAGAGTGTTGAGCATAATATTCTGCCATGTTTCTGCAAAATGAAAACAAGTTCTTATAATTAAACGTTAAAGTCAACCCATCATACATCACACCAGCTACCCCTAATTATAGTAAAATTATTTAACAATGGCAGACCATTAATGACCATTCATTCCTTAAGGACAAAGTAAACTAAAATTCATCATATCTGATCATCAGCTGTTAGATCAGGGTTCTTCAAATCTGGACCCCGATTACAAATCCAGGCCTTGTTTTCAGTTCTCCCAGGTAGTTAGTTTAATAATTACTGATTCTGATTGGTCAGAGGCTTCACACCTGAAAGGAAGGTTGGAAAACCAGCAGTGCTCAGACCTCGAGGACCGTGATTTGAATAACGCTGTGTTAGATGATCACTTTACACACATTAGCAGCAGAAGACATCCTTATTAAAAGTAAAAGCCTCTGTGACTCACATTGTAGTATAAGAGCTGGACAGTGCACTGTTACAGCCCTGATACCAACAGTAACTGGGCTGCAGGAGAAGCAACAATCATATGGAAACACCTCATGGAAAATGTACTGATGGATTGTATTAAAATGTAGCAAAAGTAATGCATATTTCGTAAACTACAGAAATTTGGACAAATAGACAAATATCCATCCATCCATTAACTTCTGCTTGTCCGGGGTTTGAGTTGCGGGGATAGCAGCTTCAGGAGAGATACCCAGACCTCCCTCTTCCCAGCTACCCCTACCAGCTCTTCGGGGGGGATGCCGAGGCGTTCCCAGGCCAGCCGAGAGATATAATCCCTCCAGCGTATCCTGGGACTGCCCTGGGGCCGCCTCCCTGTAGGACATGCATGGAAAACCTCTCCGGGTTTCCTCAACTGGCTCCTTTCGACGTGGAGAAGCAGCGGTTCTACTCTGAGACTCCCGGATATCCAAACTTCTCACCCTATCCCTAAGGGAGAGCCCAGACACCCTGCGAAGAAACCTCATTTCAGCTGCCTATATTCGCGATCTCATTCTTTCAGTCATTACCCATAGCTCATGAACATAGGTGAGGGTAGGGACAAAGATGGACCAATAGATCGAGAGCTTTGCTTTCCAGCTCAGTTCTTTCTTAACCACGACGAACCGGTTAAGCACCTGCAAAACTGCAGATGCCTCTCCGATTCGTCTGTCCAGCTCACGATGTCACCTACCCTCACTCATGAACAAGACCCCGAGATACTTGAACTCCTCCACTTGAGGCAGTATGTCATCCCTGACCTGAAGAGGGCAATCCACCCGTTTCCAGCTGAGAACCATGGTCTCGGACTTGGAGGTGCTAATCTTCATCCCCGCCGCTTTGCACTTGGCTGCGAACCACCCCAGAGCGCACTGGAGATCCCCAGCAGATAAAGCCAACAGGACGACATCCTCCGCAAAAAGTAGCGAGGCAATCCTGAGACCATCAAACTGGACACCCTCAACACCCTGGCTGCGCCTAGAAATCCTGTCCATAGATATTATAAACAGGACCGATGACGAAGGGCAGCCCTGGCGGAGTCCAGCTCGCACTGGGACCACGTCTGACTTATTACTGGCAATGCGGACCAAGCTTCGTTCATACAGGGACCGAATCGCCTACAACAGTGGACCCTGAACACCATACTCCCGAAGCACCCCCTACAGAGCACCTCAGGGAATCTGGTCGTAATCCTTTTTCAAGTCCACAAAACACAATAAGACTGGATAGGAAAACTCCCAGGCCCCCTCCAATACCCACACAAGGGTATAAAGTTAGTCCAGTGTTCCACGGCCAGGACAAAAAACGCATTGTTCCTCCTGAATCCAAGATTCGACTATCGATCTCACCCTCCTCTCCAGTACCCGGGAATAGACTTTCCCAGGAAGACTGAGAAGTGTGATCCCCCTGTAGTTGGAACACACCCTCCGGTCCACTTTCTTAAATAAGGGGACCACCACCCCGGTCTGCCAATCCAGCGGCACTGTCCCTGACCTCCACGTGCTGTTGAAAAGCCATGTCAGCCATGACAGCCCCACAACATCTAGAGTCTTTAGATACTCCGGGTGGATCTCATCCACCCACGGGGCCCTTCCACCACGTAGCTCTTTAACCACCTTGGCCACCTCAGCCCCAGTGATGGACAAGTCCCCCCCAGCACCCTCGGGCTTTGTGCCCTCAGATGTCTCAAAGGCAGTGTGCGTAGATGTATCTGAGGCAGGGTTGAGGAGGTCCTCAAAGTATTCCTTCCGCCTCCGGGTGATGTCCCCAGGCGAGGTCAACAGCACCCCCTCCCCACTATAAATAGTAGGAACCAGGAGCTGCTTCCCCCTCCTGATATTCCGGATGGTTTGCCAGAACCTTTTTGAGGCCGACCGAAAGTCACTTTCCATGGCCTCACCAAACTTCTCCCACCCCCGGGTTTTTGCTTCAGCAACCACCTGGCCTGCTGGTACCCATCAGCTGCTTCCGGAGACCCCCGGGCTAATAATTCCCAGTAGGCCTCCTTCTTCAGCTTGATAGCCCCCCTCACCTCTGATGTCCACCATCGGGTACGAGGGTTACCGCCACGACTGGCACCGCCCACCCTTTAGCCACAGCTCTGTACGGCCACTTCCACAATGGAGGTCTGGAACAATGTCCATTCAGACTCAATGTCCCCAACCTCCCCCAGTATGCAGTTGGAATTCTGCCAGAGGTGCGAATTAAAGCTCCGGCGAACAGGAGCCTCTGCCAGATGTTCACAGCAGACCCTCACTATGCGCTTGGGCCTACCAGGTCTGACTGGCTTCCTCCCCCGCCACCTGAGCCAACTCACCACCAGGTGGTGATCAGTTGACAGCTCTGCCCCTCTTGTTACCCGAGTGTCCAAGACAGAAGGCCGCAGATCAGATGATACGATAATGAAATCGATCATCAACCTGTAGCCCCGGGCATGTTCGTACCATGTCCACTTATGGACACCCTTATGCTCGAACATGATGTTTGTCATGGACAAACTATGCATTGCACAGAAGTCCAATAACAGAACACCACTTGGGTTCAGATCAGGGAGGCCATTCCTCCCATTTCACCCCCCTCCAGGCCACACTGTCATTGCCCAAGTGAGTGTTGAACTCCCGCCAGCGAAATGATGGAATCCCCTCATGGCACACTAACCAGCATACCACTAAGGGAGTCCAAGAAGGCCGGGTACTCTGAACCGTCATTTGGCACATAAGCGCAGATGACAGTCAGAGACTTATCCCCGACCCAAAGGCGCAGGGAGACAGCCCTCTCGTTCACCAGGGTAAACGCTGTTGTTAATGCACCGAGCTGTGGGGCCACCAGTAGCCCCACCCCATCCCAGTGTCGCTCACCTGCCACAACTCCAGAAGAAAAGAACGTCCAGCCCCTCTCCAGGAGACTGGTTCCAGAACCCACGCTATGCGTTGAAGTGAGCCCGACTACTGTATATCTAGTCAATATCTCTCAACCTCACGCACAAACTCAGGCTCCTTCCCCACCAGAGAGGTGACATTCCATGTCCTGAAAGCCAGTTTTGTCAGCCGGGGATCGGACCGCCCGGGCCTCCTTTGGCCGCCACCCGATCCACAATGCACCGAACCCCTGATATTCCCCTTGCGGATGGTGGGCCCACCTGGGGGCAGTCCCGCATGCCTCTTTCACGCTGTGCCCAGCCGAGCCCCACGAGCCAAGGAGTTTTTATTTGTTTTTAATTCTCCTTATTTTATTTTCACTTGGATCTTTTTTGCCTCCATTGCTGCATAAGACAAATGGACCCGCAATGAGATCTGCTGATCTGCTGATTCATAACGATGTAAAATGAAGCTTAAAATACATTCACATTTTGAAGAATGTAATGAATATTTTCCCTATTTATGATATATATCACCCACGTGCAAACCTTCTGCTATTAATCAGAATAGTAATTTTTATGAGTCTGCCTGCCGCGGTCCCCTCACCGGATATAACTGCGATCCACGCATCACTAGTCACCACGCCCATGTGCTCCAGGCATCCGGGCATTCCTGAAATGCCTGCTTTCTGAACTGATGTATTGATGTAACTGAACTTCACAAAAAAGGTACACAGCCAGTTACAAACAGCACAAAAGACGATCTTTACTTCAACCCTCAACAGAGAGCTGAGGCAGAACTGGTCTATTTGCCTCGAGTTGTCCTCCTCCAAAATCCTTCAGCAACATTTCATTGGTCTGGAATACCTTCTCCAGAAGACTCGGGGGAGCATCAACAGGCATCAGCTGCAGGTCTGACATGTCAAACTGCACAGCTGCCTCAGCCGGCTGTATCACTGTGCTGCACTCTCCTAAGTCCTGATCTATTGCTGGGTTGCTATACATCTACTTCAGATACTGGTCTGTCTCCTCCTGTGAACAGGCCAGCTTGCTGCTATGCTTCTGCCCTCACAGTTCCTTCATGAACTTGAAGGGCTTGGTGATGAATGCAGTGCTTTCTGGCTCTTTCACTGCGTCGTCTCCGATGCCACTCTGCCCAGCGGAGGACCCTGATCTTCTTGTGTAGGATGTACATCAGCTGAGCCAAGCCACTGCGCTCCTCTTCTTTTGCCTGTTTGTTTTGGAACCTGAGGGTTTTCAACTCCTGCCAGATACTATGGATCTTCACTGCTCTTTGGTTCTTTACATATGATCCTTTGGAAGCTCTCAGCTGCTCCTCTCCAAACCGCTCTGACACAATGCTGACAATGATCGCTGTCTTGGTCAAACTGACTATAAACACCTGTCTTTATTTTAGTTTTTTTCCCCAAACCATGACAACCTCCTTTAATATTAAGTGTAGGAAACAGGACAGGAAACAAGGAAATATGTAAACATACTTGCAATTAAATCCTGATATGGAGCCATATTTATCAACACCAGGATATACAGCAGACTGATGGCAGGACAAGTAACAGCCTCTTCTGTGGATCCTGGGAAACAGTTAACATTAAGTTTTATTTATTTAGCAGAGTCAAGCAGGGTCAGAAAATACTGGGAGCAGTTGGCTGAGGGGCCAATGTGTAAAATCACTCTGTCGAGTCTGAGATTTGAACCAGTGACCCTCCAAACACAGGTTAAACATCCCCCCCCCGAGATGTCACTGAGAAAACTGAAGGAATCCTTTCTTCTTACAGTATCTATGGGCGTTTTTCCACCGCACCAGGTACCGTACTTTCGGTACTTTTGGTACTTCCATAAAGTGCCGAAAGTTTGGTACTTCTTTCATGTCGGCTTTCCACTGGCGTAAAAAATGGTACCGGCGCCAAATTACATCATCAGTGACCGCCCCTGACTGACAGCCCAAAATTAAAACTAACAGTTGAGGCTGGAAAATGCGTTTTTTTGTTATGTCAGCTTCTATCACAGATTCAGTAAAATCCAAATCATGCTGCCATCAATTACATTTACGTAGGTACACTTACTTTGGCTAAGCCGATCAAAGCAGTAAGAATTAGCTTACTGCTAATTCAGTCTTTTGAAAGCAAACAAATTATTTAATTATGTTTTTTGATTTTCAAGCGGCATTGTTCGGTGTTTCGCGTGTGCCCCATTTCTTCCAAGCGGCTTGGTATTACGGTGTTCTGGGCAATTAAGTTTCCCTATATTTCTCCTGTCTATCAGGAAATAATGTTTCCCCTAATATTAAAGCAAAGAGGTATGTGAAATGTCTGAAAATCACTCAGGTACATAATTACATGTGAATACAGTAGATCGTCACGCATAATATAGTCTTATAAGCAATACTATACCGTTTTCATTAAGAAATAGCTCTATCCAGCAAATTAAGTCATTTCATTTATTATCTGTAAAAACAAAAAACATACAAAAGGCATGTGATGTTTTAAAATTAATATATGGCTTGTTTACCTTGTAAAAAGACATGAAAACAACAGCGAAACCGTGTACAAATCAGCGCACGACAGGGGAAACATAGGGAAACTGAACTGCTCGGAACAGCAAAAACTTTTTTATTTTGAATCGTGCCATCCAAATCCCACTGGATCTGTTCATCCGACCATATGGCGATTAAAGCCTGTCTTTCCTCGTTTGTCCATCCTTCCATTTTACTTTTTTATATTTTTGTTTCTACTGCTTTTTATTTTTCTTCTCGCTGTGTATTTCAAAAGATGACGGTTGTATTTTGTGTTTCAGCGGCAGGCTATTTGCATAACCAATCGACAGCAAATACGTTTGCAAGTCCCACCCCAAAGTACCGAAGTACCAAAGAAGTACCCCAACTGGTTTGGCACTTTCGGTACTCGAGATTTCGGTACTGGTACTCGACTGGAAGTCAATGGAAAAGCGAAAGTACCGTACCAAAAGTACCGTACTTTGTGCGGTGGAAAAGCGCCCTATGTGGGCAGCCATAGAATTGTTCCCCAGTTCTGAATGCAGCACTAAGATCCCTGTTATTCCTGTTTAAATTTCTTAGCTTCTCATAACTTCCTTCTACTCTGCTGAACTTTACATTGGACTTCATGTTACCTGTCACTTCATTACTGTCTGCTGACATCTAAAATTCTATAATTAGTCACCGGGGGGCGCTGCCTCAGCTGTTGTAAAATATATCTTTATTTCAGTGTGTTTAATAATCTCCCTGTTCTTGCAGGAAATCCAGAAAAATCTAACTTGCATGATCTTACACAGACTCACAATGTCAATAAAATAATCTTTTAGGAAATACATATCAAACTATAAATAACTGAGTTAATTTATGAAGAAAACTTATTCACCTTAAAAATGAATCAGCACAGTATAGATTATAAATACTAAGTATCAGCCTCAAATTACAAAGTCACTAATTTATATAATTAATCTCCAGCAGGTTGCTGTTATGCTGCTGCTGTTTATTTCTTACTGCCTGCACAACAAAATCAATAAAATCTGTCTCTTTGTAAAGCTTATTTAAATCATATCCTCCTGAGACCCAAGGAAAAAAGTGTCCTTCAATTTTATGTTATTTGTCTTTGGAGGAAATGACATCTTACAATTTAGATTTTTTCAAATTTATTTTTAATTTCACAGCATGTCCTCTTTAGTGTACAACAGGAATAAATATGCTTCCTTACATCAGTGAAAAGATAGATCCAAAAACAAAATGTCCACTGCAATGGACATAAATGAATGGGTGGGGTCTCAGGAGGATACTCAATGGGCTCACCTTCAGTTACACCCCACAGGATGAATGCTGCGGAAACCATGATTGGTGGGACTGTGACATGTGAACAGTGACTCAACAGAGCCTGTTTGCTTTTATCTAAGGACAGAATGTAGAACCAAATTTAACCACATGCTCTTTAACATTAGATGATGGTTCGTGCAAAGTTTAATGATCTACAGCTATGCTCAAATGGTCATTCTGCTGCATTCTCACCTACAGACAACCAGTAGAGACTGTCAGTCTCACTAGATGCAGCTCCTGCTTTACTTTTAATATAATTTCAATGAAGACATCAGCTTTGGTTCATTGTTTTAGTTTGCAGGGGTTTATAGTAATAAAACTTTCCAAAATTATTCATATTCATACAAACGTGTTTGTTACTAGCGAAACAGGATCAAAGTATGTTAATTACATCACAGTTAAGCACTGCAATGGACAGGAACCCTGTGTAGATACAGTCCTGCCTGATGCCCCATGTCTGCTGAGATGCCCTCTACAGGATAAGTGGTTACAAACATGGATCCACTAATGTCATCAAAATGACTAGAAATGACAGAGCAGACGCTACACTTACCTCTCCTTATTAAATGCCTGACAGATAAAGCACCAGTAAGTAGGACTACAGTTGTGACAGCGATGCACAGCCCCAGAATCAGCCAATGCAGGGATGAATAACCTAAAATATTCAGAATTACATTCCATTACTCATTTTCTAAAATAGGCTGTTTGTCTTACTGCAGCATAATCAACACATTCGCACCATTTAGTCTCACAAAGTGGAACAGAAATTTATGATTAAATCTTTGTCCATAAGTACAGTATGTGATTCCTAATGGTTCTCCATTCTGAAAACAGTTTTAATGTATAAGATTTTTCGTATTCCCATATATGATTTGGATATATTTACACAATATGTCACAAAGGGCTTTATAATGTGTCATACATGTGATGGACAATTAAGAAAAAAATTATGTTATTACTGCATTTTTCTCTGTAGCTCCTAAATGAATAGAAATAATAAAACCATAACTAGAACAAAAATTTCTGAAGAAATTTTGAGATGGGCCTATTCTACTGACCTTGGAAGAGGTGGTGCATCTAATAAAGTGGCTGGTTTGTGCATTGCTAGGTGAATGCTGGGATGTTGCTAGCTGGTTGCTATGGTGCTGCTAGGTGGTTGCTATAGTGCCGTTAGGCATTGCTAGTTGGTTAGGCGGTTGCTAGGTGGTTGCTAGGGTGTCGGAAGGCGTTGAAAGGGTGTCGGTAGCTGATTGCTAGGTGGTTGCTAGGGTGTTGCTGTGTGGTAGCTATGGTGTTGGAAGGCATTGCTAGGGTGTTGGGAGCTGGTGGCTAGGTGGTTGCTAGGTGTTGCCAGGTGGTTGCTATGGTGTTGCTATGCAATTTTAGGTGGTTGTTAGGGTGTTGCTAGTTGGTTGCTAGGCGTTGCCAGGTGGTTGCTAGGGTGTCGGAAGTTGTTGCTAGGGTGTCGGTAGCTAGTTGCTAGGTCATTGCTAGGCATTAGTAGATGGTTGCTAGGGTGTTCCTACGTGGTTTCTAGGCTGTCAGTAGGCATTGATGGATTTTAGCTGATTTCTGGGTGGTTGCTAGGTATTTCTATGTGGTTGCTAGGGTGTCGCTATGTGGTTGCTATGATATGCAAGAAAGTTTCATGTCTGTGTGGGTTGTGTTTGTGGATTGGGCAGCAGCTTTGCTTCTACTTATTAATGGGCTATTCATTGCAATAAAATGATCGATCCATATTACTCTTCACATGGTTTTCAATGGCAATGCCATAAGAAGTTGCAGTAGTTAGGTATAGGCTAATGCTAGCAAAAGTTAGCGTTCAATGCATTCCTATGGGATTTTTAGTGTGTTTGATCGTGAATAGCATTGTCATGGTAACGCAAAATGCCAACAAAATTAATACCACACCTCACACCATAAAGGACTCATTTTTGATATATAGATTACCTGGGTGCACGCCACGGTATGACCCGGATTAATAAATAAATAATAAAATAAATTAATAAATAAATAATAAAAAGTTTTTTTTGACTTTGTGAGGGAATTGCATGCAATCCGTAAGGTGCACTGAGACAAACGATATGTCCGTCCGTCCGTTTAGGCAAGCCCTACAACTTGGCACCGAAGTGAGTTCCATTCATTTTAATAGCTAAGCGCAATTTTGGAAAGAATAGTTTACTAAGTGAAGAGTAATATGGGCCTTTTCATTAAAATGAATAGATAGAACGACTGAGTCTTAGTGGAATGAAAATGTGATTTAATCACACAGAACTACACTATTTTGCCAAAAGTATTGGGACACTTGCTTTTACACACACATGAACTTTAATGACACCCCATTCTTAATACGTAGGCTTTAATATGGAGTTGGCCCACCCTTTGCAGCTATAACAGCTTCAACTCTTCTGGGAAGGCTGTCCACAAGGTTTAGGAGTGTGTTTATGAGAATTTTTGATCATTCTTCCAGGAAAACATTTGTGAGGTCAGGTTGGACAAGAAGGCTTGGCTCATAGTCTCCGCTCTAATTCCTCCCAAAGGTGTTCCACCAGGTTGAAGTTAAAGCTCTGTGCAGGCCAGTCAAGTTCCTCCACACCAGACTCGCTCACCCATGTCATTATGGACCTTGCTTTGTGCGCTGGACTTATTGCACAGGTGGCATCCTCTCACGTTACCACACTTGTATTCACTGAGCTCCTGAGCAACCCACTCCTTCGTAAATGTTTGTAGAAGCAGTCTGCATGCCTATGAGCTTGATTTTGTACACCTGTGGCTATGGAAGTGATTGGAACACCTGAATTCAATGATTTGGAGGGGTGTCCCAATACTTTTGGAAATATAGTGTATGCTGACATACATGTAAAAACCAGTCCTTCTAGTGACTCACCCAGTGCTGCTATCCTGGCAGTTGTATTGGCAGAATCAGTATCTGAGTAGACTTCACACCTGAACTCTCCTGTGTCTTCAGGCCTGATTTTCCTCAATTTAATTGAGAAGTTTCCTTTGCGAATTTCCTCAGTGAAGAATTCAGCTCTTCCAGAGTATCTCCCATCTTGTGACTCTGGTCTGTTCTGTCCATCAGCGTATAGAAGCACCAAGATGTCACCATCATCGTCTGTTTTTATCCATTTCACCTGAACCTCTGTCACATTAATATGGGTGTCCACAGAGCAGCTGAGAGTCACATCCTCTCCCACATGTGCATAGACAGGCTTATCTCCACCTGTCACCACCAGACGCTCTGGAACAAGAAAATCAATCATACAATCTGGCAATCTGACATCTGGGTGTTTTCTCCTCCTATTTAACCCCCTGGGACCGGCGATCCCGCCGGCGGGATCTGACAGAATTCTCGCGAGACCGTTTAAATAACTCCGCGAGTTTTTGTCA